GTAGGTTTAAGCTTGTTCTCAATTATATTTCCCCTTGCCAGGAATTTCAAAGACCGGAGAATTATATTGCGTGCGAAAATTCGACTTTAAGTTTTTTCCTAAATTGAGCCTTATCGAGGGATGAAACCCAGCCTCTTTTTCCGAGTTCCCTCTCTCGAAATGCCGTCCGTCTATCATTAAATCTACTAGATCTCTATAGAAATGAGCTCTACGGCGCGGCGCATGAACGCAAATACCCTGAAACGTATCGGGAATTCAGTTCATCAATTTTAAAAAGCTATCCAGAAGTAGATAATTCGGCGTTTCAGCCGACGATGAAATATTTTATGATGCTTTTGCAGGCATAGCCTCATCGGTACGCGAGCCGCGACCGGATGGATGGCAGAGGGGATGAGTCGTGTCGGAGCTGGAACAGGAACAGGGGAGCGGTTACCGCGAATGAAATTTCCCTCCGACGGAAAACACGAACGAACGCAACGGGGGAAAGGGCGGCTGCGTCGAGCGGCGGGGGAGGCAAGGGGCGAAACGTCTGCAGCGCCCCCGAACCCCTCCCGCCGGCCGGCCGGCGTCGCGATAGGGGGAGCCGCCCCCCGTTCGCGTTCCTCTCCCTGCAGTCTGAGCGGAATGCACGAGTTTATCAAGTGTCGATACCCCCTTTTTCTCGCCGGGTCGCCCCTCCCACCCAGCGGCTGGCTTACCGGCCCGGCGGTGGGTGGCGGATTGCATCGATTACCTCCCTGCAACAAGTGACCTTGACGCTATCCCCGCGCGCCCCTCCCCGCGGCCGCCCCTCCGTCGCGCCGGCCGGCTCCACCCTCCTTTCCCTTTTCCAGGCCCCGGTTGTAGACATGGCTCCCTCGTCCCGCCGCGCCGCCATGCTGCGCGCGCTTTTCGCTCCGGCTCCGCTTTTGTCTCCGGCGCGGCGCGGTGGCTCCGGATCCCCCGGTGGATCCGCGGCAAGTTGATCGCTCTTTCGCGAGGTTCGGCGGTGGCATCCTCCGCCCACGCGCTGACCCCTATGTCGCCAAGTAAGAACGCCGTATGAACATTCGAGAGTTGCAAAATTTCCCTTGAAAAACATGTATTTTTACAACATTAATGCATACAGGGTGTCTACAAGTCCGGAATTTCCGGAAAATTCGGAAATAGTACTGATTTTTGAAGGGCGGTCCGGAAGCACCGAAAAATTGCGGAAATTCCGCAAAAAGGTCCGGAATTTTTTTAAATTTTTTGTCATTTTTGTCGCAATTTTAAATTTTTGAAGTATTTCGAATTTCGTCAAATGGAGGCACTGAAAAAGTACAAATGAAGGTACTGAAAAAGTACGAAATTTTTCCGTTGGAGGAGGTACTGAATTTCTTGAGAATGTACTGTAAAAGTACTGCAAAAGTACTTATTTTTGAGCAGCTTGTTTCAGTAGACACCCTGTGCATATTTTTCCTTGAAATCATCAATTGCCTGAAAATTTTGGAAAATGATATTCGCAATTTTCCCAGTAATTCCGGGTTTCATCGGAGGCAACGTCTAAAGGCTCATACGGCGTTTTTCCCTAGCGCGGCAATATGCCCTGTTGATTTCTGAGCATCGCAATTGACGTCCGCACTTCGGCCCTCTCGCGCACTCCAGGTATTGACGACCCGGCCTCTTCAGGGTGTTCACGTGTGTGGAAAACTGGAGATTTTCCGGGAAATTCGAAGGGGGAAGAAACCATTGGCGCGTTCCTTTCAATTGAAGTGAGTCTCTGTCTTTTTCGAGGATCCATGCCCTGAGTTATAATCTGAATAGCGAACAGCGTAATATTAGGGTGTCCACTGTCAGTAAAAACCGAAAAATATTAGGGAATTCTAAAGTAATAGCTGTAGAGGTGGTTTAGTTTGTATCAACGCGTTGACTGAAGTTTCTTCGAGTCAGAAGTAATCGCACTCGGCATTGGCACGAAAAGCGCCTTCAAATTTTGAATATGCAACATGGACAACATCAGAGCTTGTTTAGTTGCATCTAGGCGTTGACCCAAGTTCGTGGGCATCTCTGCCCATTCAGTGTAGATCGCATAGCGGATCTTTCGGCTATTATTTTATTGCGTTTTCACTTTCTCTTTTTTTTTAAATCTGACTAACAATAATTAGAATATTCAGTGTAACTTCCGCACACTAACGTTCATTTAATATTCTGTACGGGATACAAGCAACCGCGGTTTTACACTGGAAAAAAAACACATTGGATCTAGAGCCCAGACTCTTGAAAACATTGAAAAGAAAAAAATACACTTGATTCAATCAGATTTTTGCTTGAATCAAAAGGAAATCCGCTCAATTTAAGAAGCTTGGTTCTTGATCTAAGCAAAAATCCGATTGAATCTAGAGTATTTCTTCTTGTCGATGTTTTTAAGAGTCTAGATTCTAGATCCAATGAGTTTTTTTCAGTGCACGTTACAATTAAGGTACGTATTTTTCTACGTCGACCGCCGAAGTGCGTTACGAAACGGGAGCATCGCATTCGTTATACAGGGTTATTCAAAAGTCACGCACCACTGGTCATAACTGTAGTTATAATTATGATATCGATTTGCGGTTTAAGAAGTTTTTCCTCAAATCGAGGGGGAAATATTTTAGGTACCTTCCAGTTTTTGATCCCCTCGGGGGACGGGGGGAAACTCAAAAATTTCAAATGGCCACCCCCTCATGGCCAGTGGTGCGTATCTTTTGAAAAACCCTGTATATTCGAAAGCCTCCAAACTTGGGCTTCCAGTTCCCATCGCTGCTGTTCTCTCCGTGCTCCCGAGCTCATCAGGAGGGGCGTCCAGAATTCGAATCATCCGGCAGGAGCGATAAGAGGGGTGGGGGGGGGGGCGGACTTTNCGGACTTGACATTACGGCCGGATAGATTATTCTCTAATCACGGTTTTCAGCTCTAATTGATCTCCGCCCGGAATTAAGCCGCGGATCCGCGTTCATCTTCAATTAATTGGCCCTCGGGCTAATTTCCCTGCTCCGCCCCCCGTTTTTCGCGGACGGACGGACGGAAGGACGGATGGAGCTTTTCTACCCCCGCGCCCCCGGCCCCGCGGCGATGCTATCCGGAGGTGGTCTAGACGATTGTTATCGCGGACGCCACGGCACGGTCATTAGGTGTGCTTTATGTGGATCGTCCGGGGTTCCTCCGCGCGACCCGTGAACCCTGCGCCTCGCCCGCGACACGTCCGCGAAATACCCGAGGTCCCCTGGAAGCCGTAATGAAGGACGGAACGGAGGAGGAAAGGGAACCCTTGTCCTAGCGTTGTTGGAATTCCTTCTAACCTGGAGAATAGCTCTGTGTCCACTTTTCAAAATGGAAGCTCAAAATGAATCGATTAGTACGATCTGTTCGCGATCGTTGATCAAAATAGAGTCGTGCCACTCTATTTTGAGTTGCAACACTCATCAATCGCATCCAGTCCCGACTTAGAGCCACTTATCGTTGAAATCGATTCATTTTGAGCTTCCATTTTGACGCCATTTTGACGAGTGGAGACAGCGCTAATGCTGTTGTGCAGTGGCGTGGCGTGCTTTGCGATCTATCGATTGATCTGCCGTTTAAACATATGTAAAAGGATCGATGAACGGGGTGTTCGCGACGAACACCTGAATAATCGATTCTTTACCGTAGCTTAAAATGGGGGATTATCGGAAGTCGATCGTTCACGCCCCGCCACTGCTGTCGTGCTAAGGAAGAACGCCGTATGAACATTGGAGTATTGCCAAATTTTCTTTGATCGAATGCTTAATTTTGAGGAAAATTATGAATATTTTTCCTTGAAATTTTCAGACGTTTTGTACGGAATCACGAACAAAATTATCCGAGAAATTGGTAGCCAAATATTCAAATAAACTGCATACGGCTGAATCGTCAGCCATCGAGAAAACAGGGAGTTGAATTGAAAGGAATTTCTTGATCAATCTCTCTAATTTCCTAATGATTAATATGACTGATTTTCTTTTCCGTTTCCCCCTCCTTTTTTCTGATTATTTCAGTATTGTCAGTCAATGCACCCAACCCCTCTCCCCGCTCCCTCTCCATCTACTCCTCTGAAGTTAAAAAACTATCCCATGATTTCTTTGCTTATTTTCAATATTTCATTTCTCTGTTAACAGAGGCTGATCATTTTGATGGCTCCTGTACCCAAACCCCTCCCCCTTCCGCTGCTTCTTGTTCCAATTCGTGTCTTTTTAGCGTCATTCAGTCACGTTGTTCTGAGAAACGCTCCGAGTTCCCGTTAGTTTTTCACCCGTATCTTTTCCAAGAGCTTGGTGATCATCAGTCCAACGGATGTGATTCTGTTACGACATCGGTTCGCTGTAAAAACAGTTGCGATGATCGTGCTCACAGCCTTGCGATGTCGCAACCGTTTCCTCTTACATATAAGTACAAAATTATATTTGTACGGCCGCACGGACATGCATCTTGGGACAAAAGGGACACAACCAGGGACAGCGATAAGAAATTTCTGAATACTTAAAGCACGAAACTTGATCTAGAAGGTTCCATCCTCAGAAAACTTTAACAGGATGTTCAGAGAATGCAGGCAATTGGAAAGAAGTCCTTGTTGGCTACATTTAATATTTTTATAGCCGGCAGCAACACTCAATTTTGTCGTTATAACTGATGACTAAATTGTTGAATAGCGCGCCCAGTAAGTTTGCCAAACTGGTTGCTCAGTACGTCTATCGCCAGTCATTATCCAGCGAAAATAGCGCTTATCTCCAAAAGCATCTTTAAACTTTAATACTTCTGAGTTTCCAAAATTCTTTTTTCTGAAGTGTTTTACGCAAAGTCAAAAGGAGGGGACGGGGCTGCATTCGCTCAGGTTCTTTATCGTCTGGATCGAAAGCGATTCTCAGATAGTTAGGATTTTTTTTTCCTTCATACGTGTTATTCTTTTTTGGTACTTTAAACTATGTGTGGGTGGTTTTAATGGGTGGAATGAAAATTCTAATGGATTGTTTCTTGTTTGTGTGTCGCAGGGATGCTTTTTGACTGAAGATGGCTTCGCCAACTCCGTCTCTGGACTCTTTAACTGGAGCGACGAATTCGATTAGTTCCTTGATCGACCAAACTGATTACAACTCGCTGAGCGACTCTCCGATTGTCTCCGATTGCAGCGGTGGTAGCAACTGCAGCAGCGAGAACACAGGCCCAGTCAACCACAACCACAGCAGCCACAACGGGATCAACGGCATCAACGGCTTGAACGGTCTCAACGGTCACAACGGCCTCAACGGGCTGAGCAGCCACAAATGCAGTCTGTGCAATGAGCTTACGGGGAACCCGAAAGTCCTGCCCTGTTTCCATACTCTGTGTCAAAATTGCGTCGACTCGAGCCACTCGTCGGGCGATAAGATAGACTGCCTGCTGTGCGAGCAGGACGGCAATATCCTCTCATCGCGGCTTCTGACGGTGGGCATCAACGACCTCTGCGTCAACAACTACATCGAGAACCTCAACTTCGATAAGATCAACTCGGACGACATCGTCTACCCGACGACCCCGGTGGTCTTCTGCACGAGCTGCAAGACCAAGCCAGTCGACGCCGTCGCCCGGTGCTACGACTGCGACCACTACCTCTGCCCCAACTGCGTCATGGCCCACCAGTTCATGCACTGCTTCGAGGGTCACCGCGTCATCAACCTGGAGAACGGCAACAGCAACGGCAATAGCAACGGCAACGGCAACAACATGGACCGCGACGCCAACAACAAGGACATCTCGGAGCTCAACGGCTTCAAGAACGGCCTCATCACCGGCGACAAAGTCGTCTTCTGCCCCCGACACAAGACTGAAGTGCTCAAGTATTTCTGCCGATCCTGCAACGTCCCCGTCTGCAAGGAGTGCACCCTCATGGACCACCCGAGCGGGATCCACGACTGCGAGCACCTCTCCGAGGCCGGGCCCAAGCAGCTCGAGTTCATGTCCCAGTCCGTCCAGGAGGGCAAGACCAAGGCCATCGACATCCGCAACGTCATGAAGAACCTCGAGCACTCCTCTGGCAAGCTCCAGGTCCAATACCACAAGGCCCAGAACGAGATCAACGACACTTTCCAATTCTACAGGTCCATGCTCGAGGAGAGGAAGCAGGAGCTCCTCAAGGAGCTCGAGTCGGTCTTCTCGGCCAAGCAGATCTCCATGTCGGTCCTCCAGCAGAAAGGACAGGAGACGATCGAGAAGATCCACCAGACGTGCGACTTCGTCGAGAGGCTCCTCAAGTTCGCCAGCACGCCCGAGTGTCTCATGTTCAAGAAGTTGCTCGACTCCAAGTTGCAGTCGCTGATGAACTACAACCCGGACGCCGGGCTCCAGGCCGCCTGCGAGCTTGAGTTCGTCTCCAACTACCAGGCCATCCAGGTGGGCGTCCGCAACACTTTCGGCTACGTCCGCTCCAACAGCGAGGTCAACATGGGGCCCAACAAGCAGCCGCCCATCGCCAGACCCAGCAACGGCACCATCCAGCTCAACGGCAACTCGGTCCTCGGCACCCTCAACGGAGGCTCCGTCAACGGGATCCTGGAGAGACCCTACACCAACGGCCTATCCTCGCCCACTCCCTCGCCCTACGAGTCGAACATCATATCAAAACGCTTCAGCGCGGCCAACAGCCTCGGCCCATTCTCGACCACCATCACGGACCTCGCCGTGAACGGTGTGAATCCCTACGAGAAGTGGTCCAACGGAAGCTCGGACATCTTCCAAAGCACCAGTCCTGACTACACCCTCTCCTTGTCGGGCACCAACGGGGACTCCGTCCTCGACTTAACCTCCAAGCTCTTGTCCACCGGAGTCTTTCCGCCCAAATCCCAGATCAAGCGCCAAAAAATGATCTACCACTGCAAGTTCGGTGAATTCGGGGTCCTCGAGGGGCAGTTCACGGAGCCAAGCGGAGTCGCTGTAAACGCACAAAATGACATCATCGTAGCCGACACGAACAACCACCGCATCCAGATATTCGATAAGGAAGGGAGGTTCAAGTTCCAGTTCGGCGAGTGCGGTAAGCGCGATGGTCAGCTCCTGTACCCGAACAGAGTGGCCGTCGTGAAAAATTCTGGTGATATCATTGTGACTGAGAGATCGCCAACGCACCAAATTCAAATTTACAATCAGTACGGGCAGTTCGTCCGGAAATTCGGCGCCAATATTTTGCAGCATCCTAGAGGGGTGACGGTTGATAACAAAGGTAGAATTGTCGTTGTTGAATGCAAAGTTATGCGTGTTATCATCTTTGATCAAGCTGGTAATGTTTTACAGAAATTCGGATGCTCAAAACATCTCGAGTTCCCCAACGGGGTAGTTGTTAACGACAAGCAAGAAATTTTCATTAGTGACAACAGAGCTCATTGTGTTAAAGTTTTTAATTATGACGGTGTATTTTTGCGGCAGATTGGTAGTGAAGGAGTTACTAACTATCCGATCGGTGTCGGAATCAATGCAGCAGGTGAAATTTTAATCGCTGACAATCACAACAATTTCAATTTAACTATTTTCACCCAAGATGGACAGTTAGTCTCTGCCCTAGAATCTAAAGTTAAACACGCACAATGTTTTGATGTTGCTCTTATGGACGATGGTTCAGTTGTTTTAGCCAGTAAAGATTACCGTCTTTACATTTATCGTTATGTCCAGTGTCCTCCAATCAGTCTTTAATTCAGTTTTTCGTCGTACATATCTTTGAAAATTAGCTGCAGTTTTCATGCAACATTGATATGTTATCTAATTTTATTCAGTTAACTGTAATTTTGATCTCTGGTTTTTTTCTTTCTTTATTTATTTACGTATCTGTTTATTTATTGATTTTTCCCCCTTTTTGTCATGGTTTTTTCTAAAATATTTGTTAGATCTGCCCATTCGGTAATGTTGAAGTTTTAATGTAATACTTTAGGAATTAGTTACTCATTTCAAAAATCACCTTGAAGTAAATCAATTTTGAAAAAATTTAAATTGAAAAAGAAAAGTAACATTGTAATGAAAAGAATTTTGCAAATCTTAAAATTTGACTGAATTATATTTTGGTAAAGTCTTAAAATATTATTTTCATGATTGTATGAAATAATTATTTGTTTTGATTGAATACTATTTTAATTATTTAATTTAAGAAAATAGAAAAAAATTAAAAAATATGAGGAAAAAAATTTAAAAAAATTGTTAATGTTTAAGTGTTTTGTAGAATTACATTTGTTGTACTGTGTTTGTAAGATTCTTTCTTTTTAAAGTTACTTTTAAGCTCTGATATCTGTATTTTTTTAACTTTTTTATTTAGCTAACGAAGCGTATACTGAAGGTATAAGATTCTCTATTTTTTTTTTCTTCATCCAATCTTATTCTCCACTAGTTGAGTTCAATGGACCATCTCAAAAACCAGTAGCATTATCAATGTCGTTTTGAGCCCCATAGAAATAAGGTTGAAGTCACACTTTTTGCTTTTCATTTTTTTCTCATTCAGAAATTCTGAAAGTGGGGAAAATCAGAAAAATATGTTGAGATTTCACAGTAATATTTTGCCCAACATTTTGCAGCTTGATAAATGGAAAGAATTTTACCCTACGTCGTTAACTTATCATATTAGGTGAAGCTGTGAACTGATCCAGCCCTTTTCAATTCCAAATGCTTCCTCGAATGTAGAATTGTGATCGTAAGCAGGATTTACTTAAGCCTTTGCTCTTGAGAAGGATACCCTGCTCTAACTATGACAAGCCTTTGATCAGCCTTTGGATATTTTCATTTCCCAATCCTCTTCCCTTCAAGTTTTGTATCTCTTAGGATTTGGCAATTAAGGCTGATATTTAAAGGTTTTTTTCCTTGTATTTTGAATGGTGTTTCGCGCAATGAAATATCTCAGCCCCCTTCCCCTTTCTTATAAATTATGCGAAACAATTGTATGTACTATTATTTACCCCACTCTCTTCTCGCTAATTCAAATGTAAATTGTCATTTGTAACTTGTTTTTCCAGTTTCTTTCTTTCTTAAGTTAAATGTTTATTTATTTATTATTTTTTTATGATTTTATATTATGTTTTGTTTTTGTATTTTGTGTGTGTTAGTGAAAAAGTAGGTTTTTTTATTTTAATTTTTATATCAGTAGTTTTGTCCCAGGTTTTTTCTGTTTTTCATTATCTCTGTTTTTCATGGGTCAGCTTAATTGGAGGAAAACTTTTAAAATAGACTCTCTGTTAAAATGTTTTTAACCTTGACCTAAACTTCTAAATTTATGTGGATAAAATACTGAGTAGAGCGACTCTAACTTGATTCACTGAGTTAGTTACAGGTATTCCCATAAAACTTTAAAAAAGGATATTCAGCACCTACTTAATGTTGATATTATAGCTTATTTTTTCAAAAATTTTAGAGGTGATGAGTTGACCAGCTTATTAATTCTTTACGGAATTAGGTTGCGTCGATAATTAATTATTAAACTTCTCAAGCTATTGTTTTACAAAGTGATAAGTTTGTATGTGTTGAATTTCAAGGAAAAGAAGGAATGAGCAGAAAATTTTTGATGACACAGAAAACTCCTCTTGAAAAATTTATATTTGTTAAATCTGAGTCTGTGGAATCATTTTTCTTGTAAATGTTGGTTAGATTCAAGATTTTAGCGAGTAACGTTTTAGATTTACATTTTTTTATTACCAGGGACTGAAAGCATATCGTGCTACAGTTTTTTCTTTAATCAATTTTTTATTATGTTTGTTCATAGTTATCCAAGTTAAAGTCTCCCTTTCTTCCGGTTGTTCTCCCTCTCCCCTCAGTACTCTTGAGACAAAATTTTAATCCGTTATGAAAAAATTTGTTGAAGAATGTCATTTATTATACTGTTGTGGTTTTATCTGGAAATTTTTGAGCAAGGTTTTGAGAAATTTTCAAGTATTATTTCAGTTTCTCTCATTTTTCAAATTTTTGTTTTTACTCTTGATAATTCATTTTAAAGAAAAAATAAATAAAATTATAATCAGAAGGAATAAAATACAGTAAAACATCACAAATTATACCTGTTATTGTTGGAGTAACCGTAGATATTTTGCTTAAAAAATCAACCGCCTAATTTCACGTTAGGTCCCATCATAGTTCCTATCATTGAACTAATACTGACTCAGCTTCTGAATACATCGTAAAGAACTGGAAACAGCGCGATAATACCGCTATAGTGCATCGGCTGTTAGATGAATATAATATTTATGTTTGTTACGATGTTTCGAAAATTATCTAATCTGTTTTTTATTCTTGATAAACTCGATAAACTGTATTAAATACTTAATTTTAGGGCGGCTCTTAAAATAAATTGTTGTTGAGCGATTACCTTATTTTCGCATCCTAGTCAAGAGTTGGTTCTTTCTTTTTATTTATACTTTACTTTATTATTTATCTATTACTTTATTTAATTCGTTTTTATTTTTTCGAGCCGTCCTTTGTTAATAATTTAAGAAAATTTTATGAGACTCATTCCTTGTTTTGTGTAATTGTTTTTCCTTTTCTTTTCTTTGCTATGTTTTAATTTTAAGGCCATCTTTCTTACAACATAATCAGAAGCATTTGGTAATGATTATAACTTAGCTTTCGATTTCTCAAAACTACAACGTCTCAACCATAACGTTTGTCATCTGTCATCAACCTCTTGCTCCCAGATATTGCTGGCACAAATTCTAACCTCAAGCAAGTCGGTTTTTGTTCCCAGTATGTTTTGTTGATATCAGTTTTTCAATACTTACACCAACTAGAAACCATTCCCACGCTATTTTCTAGATTCTGCTTTTTAGGTTCAGTTTTCAAGAGTCAGATTTCTGCAGAATTTTTTTTATTTTTGTATCTCATGTGATTTAATTTTCATTTCATTTCTCTCGATTTTTTCCCCTCCCTCCCCCCCTTTTTTTAGTTCACCCTCTTAGATTCCACTCAATCAACAAAAACACTTGGGTCAATAAACTCAAATCCAGAGGGATTTTTGCTGTCGGATGATTTTCGTTGGTTATAACGTTTTAAGTAAGATGTCATTGAAATTATGAATGCGTTGATTAGTTGTCATCAAGAGTTGCAGCAATGTGAAAGTTTTCCAGAATCCACCTTATCGACCTCATGAAAGATGTATGAAAGGTGTCCATAAATTACATGTTAATTTTAAAAAAAAAAAACCACTACACTGTAATTTCTGGACACTCTTCAATGGTTCCAATGAAAGAACTGTGTTTTGGATTGGCTTGGTATAACATCTATTGCAAGAATTATCTTACTCGGAAAATGAAAGAGATGCATTTCACTTTGAGAATTTTAAAAGTCCTCTCAAGCATCCTACATTTCTTTCGTTTTTCAAGTTTCAGTATGAGAACAAACCTTGCATTTTTAGTTAAAGTTAAGGTAATGATGACCACCCCTCTTTTAAGCTGGAACCATGTACCTACAAGAGGAAGTATTTGAGGGAAATCAGGAAATTAAAAACAACTTTATAGAGGGGCGTTAAAAATACCCTCCATAACACGATAAAGGGTACCCTCCATCTGTAATAATCCTCACAGTTTAGCCTCTCATAGTTGTTAATGGTCACTTCAAAACCATTAAGATTTTTCTTAAATCTTTCTTTCTCTGTGCAGGATTTAATTTTTTTAAATTTAATCAGTAATTGATAATGCTAATGTGAACATCTTACCTTAAGACGAAGGGATCAAAATTTACATATTTTGATTGTCTGTGGAAATGCACGGAAAATCCCACATGTCTTTTTCAGGAACAATCTGTATTTTGAATAAGTATGAGGTTTGGATTTTCTTTCATCATTCTCGCTCTTATCCTGCAACTTGAGTCAACCTATTTTGTCAAAGACCAGTTTCAGCAGGTCTGATACTGATGCATATATTCAAGGTTTTGTAAGTCCTCGCCGTTCCGTTAATGTGTATCTGCGGTTATGATTGATAGCTCTTAGTCTCTGTTAAACTATTCCTGTGAAGGACCAATTATTCAATTATGGCAAAATTCTCTTCAGTTTCTCTCACTACTCCCAATTAGGATCGATGCCAGTCATGATAATCTTTCAGCCTTCTTTTTCACAACTGCATTTTATCTCATGCTCCCAATATTTTCCTTCAGATGAGCCGTTAGTTGGTACTTAGTTCAAGTGATGTTAGAAGTTGACCTTTGAGCAAGTCAGTTTCATTTAAGAATTCATGTAAGCGTTACTTGTAGTGTGGTTGTATTTAGGTGTAAATGTAAGTGCATGTGCTTATATTCACTTACCGATTGGTGTAAATTTGTTACTAAAGCCATTTCTGTCAGAGAATTTGTGCCACAATTCTGAATACTCCTTGTAGTTATCATACTTCAAATTCAAGTACACATACTAAAATGAGAGTAACCCTGAATTTTTTTTAGCTCAAATTTCATTTTGTAAGATAGTTACTTTTCTTATCAAATTTAGTTGTATTTCAATTTTGTCCCTTTGTTCTTCTGATTTATTTTTCATTAATGAACATTCAAAACGCGTTTGTTTTTTCATGTACACACATATTTATACATTTTTTTGTACTTTGTAATTTAGCCTGTTAAGTTTAAGAATATGTGTGTGTTTACACTTAATTACTGCTTATTAAGTGTCGAAGATAAATGAGGTAAATACTAGATAATATTTGATTTAAACTCATGTATTTTCTTTTAGCTACTATTCATCTTCAACATTTAATGCAATGGTAAAATTGTTGTTGTTATTTCTTGTTATGAAAGGATATCAGATACGAATATTTTTCCAAGCGCCCTTTGTCACCAATCATTTCTCCAATTTCTACAACATTGGTCGATTTGTTGGTAAAAAATAAATTCTTCATATCGAAGTCATTAAAATTTTTAACATTGATATTTAGCACAAGCTTGAACAAAAAACCTTATTCTGATTCCTCCATTATCATTGTTGCAAACACTTTGCTTTTTGTTCTCTCTGAATGGCTTAATATTAATGAGAGTAGTTTTCAAAATTCAGGTA